GTGTCCCTGTGTCCACGGCTGCAGGAGGCCACCCCGTGCGCCTCGGCACCCGGCTGCCACCGTGTCCCTGTGTCCGGCGTTGTCCCACTGCGGGATTCACCCGTTTGCTGCCGTGAATCACTCCCATCCTCATCCAAAACGCCGTCTGTGGAGAGCACGGCCTGCGGAGGGTGTTGAGCGATTCGCCTCCGCAGGCTCTGCCAGTGCCCGGTTATACCACTGTGCTGGAAATACCTTTTACATGAGCCCCTCACTCCTGCATGGTTTGCTGGTAATTCGAGATGGGGTTCAGAACTATCGTGCTTAATTATGAAATCTGAATACCGGGTAGCCAATGCAAGTTAAACCATAGAAGTTAAACAGTCATGGAAAGGAGAAGGCTGTGTACAGCACTTGTGTATTGCTTTCTCTTGTTTTAAGTACATAGTTAGAGGAGGATTCCTTTCTAAGAAAACTAAGAAGGTAACTCATTTACACAGTGTACATTTCATGAACTATGGAAAGATAATATGTCCATTTATTCTTTTATTTATTTACTTATTTAATTAATTTAGACATTGGGTATAACTGATAACCAAGAAGATCAGAACAACATATGTGGGTAGTAGAGAGCATAATTCAATGGGCATCATTATCATGCTTTAAACTGTCAGAAGTTACTGATCTGAAGTCTGAGTTTATTCAAGTGTAAAGGTTGAGACAATATCCAATGAACTCAATGGGACTCTTTTCCTTGGGAAGAGTAATAGCTACTCTGTTGACGATAAATTTCTACATTTGTGCCTGAGTGATGTCACTTACCTGACTTTTCCTGAATCCTTGGACATGCGGAATCAGAGTTTCTTTTTCTTGGAGCCTCTTTCTTGACATGAGGCTTGCAGAGTTGTCCAGTTTTCTGGGTGGAGGAGGCGATTCCAAAGCCAGCTCCCATTTTACATTCCTTCCACCTACATAGAAGGCTTCACAGCCTTTGCAGTGTAGGACTTCTGCCCCTCTCTTATTCCTTTAACTTGCTTGATATAGACAACTAGCCAGCAGATCATTTTGGAGAATGACAGCAGAGGAGAGTCAAAACTGATCAAGAAAATTTGTAGGAGAGCTTGGACTGTTAGTGACTTTCTTTTTCATAGAAAAGCACTGCACCAAGTAACACCTCCCCACTGCAGCTTGACCCCTTGTGTCATCTGTCCATTAGTGCCCTCATCACACAACTCTACCCAACAAGCATTTGGAGCTGGAAAAAAGAAAGTCCAAATGAAATTAAAAAATATTTAATGCACTTTCCCAACCTGACTGAGACCAAAATCTGGGAAGATGACTACCCCAGCATGAGCTCTGAAGACATCTATGCCTTTTGTATGTGATTGATTGAAAATATGTTTTCATTTGTATGGGCTCAAGTGGTAGCTGAATTGCTTAAAGACCTGGGGACGCTGGGTTACTCTTCTGTAGACTGTTCCTGAAAGAACTTCAAATGAATTGAGTAGTGTTTGACTTCATGCCTAGGACAAAGCACTGAATGTTTGGATATTTTCAATTCTTTTTTCCCTTGAGTTTCAGTGTTTGAGGCATCTCAAGAAAATTGCATGATCAGACCTCCCCTGACAGCACAGCACACACAGACCTCCCCTGACACAACACACAATGGAGACAGCTAAATGCTTATTTTTCTATTCCATTTATATCTGTTGATTGCTTCCTCACATCTACTTAAAAGATTAAGTTTTCTGAACTGCCTCTGTAGTGCATTGTTTCTACTCTTGGCCAGCCAGCAGGCAGGTCTTCAAGTATTTTTAGATACCTTGTTTCTCTCCTCATCCTCACCCTCTGCTCTCCATTCTCCCTCCCTCCTCTTTTTTTTTTTTTTTTTTGTGGTGATCTCTCTGTTCTGGACTTCCAACTGAACTTCCACAAGCCAAGAGGTACCTCCTCCATGTCAAGAAACTGTGCCAGATGCAGTTACATTTTGCATGTGAGCATTATTATTTAAGCATGTCAAGAAAATGCTATTATTAGAAATAACCCATTCCAATTATACACTGGATGTTGTTATAAACTCGTTGGAACAATGTTTGGAATGCTCTTAACCTGTTGGATAAGTTGTCAGAATCAAGGTACACCTACAAGTCAGAAGGGCATGAACATCTGAGCCACAAGTTCAGGTAAGTCAAAACTACTGCAAGTCTCATTGAGAAAGTTACACCAGAATATATGAATCTTCACCAGAAAGATTTTCCTCAATCAGTTGGTATCTGTGTTATCATTTGAATACTCCAGTTTTGCTTTCAGATGATCCTTGATGTGAACGCATTTCTTCAAGCATATGTTTCATGAGCCAGAATGCTTCTAGCTCATGTAACCCACTGGCTTGGCAGGAACTTCCTGGATTTTGAAATAGCATATGTTTATTTGTGTATGTTCTTGGGAAGAAAAGACCAAGGGAGCACATTTTGATATCCTGCATCTGAAAAAAACCCTCTGTTTTTAAGAGGGCACCAAGGCTTAACTTTTGTTCTTTTTGGCATATTAGCTACGAAAACAAAATCCCTCACTCTTTCTGATAGGGACAATATTTGTAGCCTATATGTTTTTTTTCAGACCAGATTTTTTTAACTCATGTAAACATCTCTTGCAAATGCAATGAGGTCACCATCTAAAACTTAGCTGCTGCTCAATAGCTTGGATGTGTCTCAAAAACCAACAGGGATTTTTGACATGCCATTTGTAGCAGTTTGCTTGCTCACCAGTAAAGATTTTCATGTTAAGTCAACTGGATGCACATTGTGGAATAAAACAATTTGGGCTTTGTAACTGCCAAAAGGAGCTTTGATTTCAAATATCAGTCTATCACGTAGAAAAGGGTGACAGTTTGTACAGAGTGTGCAGTTTACTCAAGCATAAGTTCCTTTACAAAAGCTGGAGATGGCAGCAAACTACAGGTGTCAGCAATGTCTGGTACATAGTATTTTTTGTTAATTTTGTTATCTTTCCCTATTCAGATTTTTTTTTCCTTCAGGAATAGTCAGGAATAGACAGACAAATAACTCTTGTCTCTTGTCATTAAGGAACTAGTGAAAGTGTGCACAAAACCCACACAATGCACTACAAATAAGAACACAATTTAACCTGCAAAACAACTGCCATGTGTTTCGTGGAATGAAACATGCTGCCTAAGCAGCCCAAGATAATAATACAGTCATATTTTCAAATGCATAGACTTTGGTGTACCTCATGAAGGGAAAAACAAAAAGGTCACTTGAATCTATTTCTTAAAGTGTTAGGCAAGAAGAAAAGTCCAGTGGAAGAATAGATTGGCTGGGATCAGACAAAGATGTGATGAGCCACTGTTTCCTGTGGCAAAAGATAAGTGACATAGCAGGACAGAAGGAAATGTTTCCTTAAACACAGAGAGGAGGGAATAGCTTTTGCCTGGGTGTAGTGATAGAGAAATGTCCTCATGAGGGAACATGATTTCTGTGGTAAGAGAAAAATTGAAAAAAAAAAAAGTAATAGATTAAGGGATTTTGGGGGGAGGAGGAGAAAGAAAGAAGGAAGGAGGTAAAAAGGGAGAGGAAAATTAATGCAGAGCTTTCCTCAGAATAATGCACAGAGAACAACATAGGAGTAGGAAAGTTTATAAAGATAAGTCAGAGAGGTAAAAGGACACATAACAGATGCCATAATTGGTTGTATTTTCTTGTAGTGTAATCAAAAGCATGTTGATAATGCTACTGTTACATACAGTTTACAGACCCTGCAGCTTTCAGATGCAGCAAAGAACATCTGCAGGAAGAGCCGGTGATAGCAACGTGCTGCTCCACTGCCCCAGCATGTGTGAAAGTGAGAATAGTCCTGTATGTCCCAGCCCCTATGGAGCATTGGTCAGTGGGGTTCTGCTCTGCCAGGCTCTGCACTGCACACAGCATTTCCCAGGAGACACACATGACGTTTTTTCACTGGGTCTCTGCCCAGTCTTTCTCTCTTTGCCATCAAATTATCTACTGTCTTTCTCTAGCATTTTGAAGTCGTTTTGTTGCTGTGTTTGGGCTAGAAAAT